ACGCGTTACTCTGCGCTGCGCAAAACTCCACATTTGAACAGTCAGTAGCAAATACTTAAACTAATAACAAAACATACTTACAATCGCTGATTCAGAAGCGCCAGATTGTCGTAGCAAAGTCGGAATTTACCCTTTTTAAAAAAAATTTAAATAGCCTTTGTGCACAGCCAGCCTTGTACTCTTCTATGTTCAAAAAACTGTCGTCCATAAAATGCGTTGCACAAATTCGAACATCTGGGTTGTGCTGTTCTGTTGTAAATAAATCTTAACCAATGATTTCTAATTGCATCTACTTCCGGAAGGCCAAATAAAGTGCTTTTGCTTTCGCACTGAAACACACAGCGTCTCCCTGACATGCTGCATCAACACTACTGCTGTTCCTGAAACCACGCCTTCTTTCTTTGCGTGCACATTTGGGCGGCATTATGCTAATATTTCCACATAGTGACGTAGACATGTGGGGGCGTGTTAGAACGAGCCGTTTTAGGTAGGTGTGGCTGACTCTTAACTTTTATAAAGAATATCTCTTTGGATTTGAGACTTTAGTCTTTGCAACTTTACAGATCTTCTTTATGCACCAAGAGCTTGTAACACTCCAAAGAGAAAGGAAAACTTGAAATCTCTTCATATGACCCCTTTAATAAATTATTAGGTAAATTATGTGCAATAAGAGACCAGAGACTTTAATTAATAATTAAATAAGGTACTTTTTTATGTTGTCATTAAGAACAGACTATGACCAAATTGAATACGATGTGTATGTTATTTGTAAGTTTGTGACATAGTTTAGCATCTGTTCGGTGATAATAATCGTCCTGGACCTGTGTGTGTCTGACCAGGGCGTCTATGAGAACTTCCGTCAGGAGCTGGAGCAGAGCGTGAGTCCGGCGGAGGTTCCCGAGGAGAGAAGCTCAGCGTTCAGCGACGAGCAGAGCAGCGTGACGCTGAGCTCCGCTTACCACACCGACCCTCTGCTGAACGTGGCCGCCGTGCAGGGAACCGTGCGCAAAGCCGGACGCCTCGCCGTCAAAAACTTCCTGGCGCATAAAAAGAACAAGAAGGTGGAGCTCGCGCCTCGCCGCAAGTGGAAGAGCTACTGGGTGTCCCTCAAAGGTGTGTGTGTGTGTGTGTGTTGGGTGTTTCTGAAAGAGATGCGAGCGGTTACCTGACACCATAAACAGGTTTTACAACTTCCTGTGAAATGGTTTGTAAGAGAAGAGGAGGATTATGTTTGTTGTGTGCTGTTATATGGGTAAGTCCAGAAAAAGCTTTTGAGAATTGAACGCCCATCATTCACCATGTTAACTCTGACACGCTTGTTTGTTTAATATTCTGGCAAATTTGATGTTTTCAGCTTCTAAGTGACTAAACACATTTCCCATATTTATTTTACAATACCCATTTCTTAAAAAAAAAAAAAAAATCTTTACTGACAATTGAATGTGTTCTTGCTGAATAAAATTATTAATTTCTTTCAAAAATAATCTTACTTGCCCCAAACGATAGTGTATGTACTGTATATACAGTAAGTTCCTCATAGCTGGATACAGACAGTGTAAGACATGTTAGAAAGATCTGTATCTTTGCCAACAGTGTGAAAAGAGCAAAATCAAAGCTGAAAAAAACAATCCAATAAGTGTGCAAGCATGATATTGGATTCTGTTTAAGAAAGCAGACCATAAACAGGTTTTACAACTTCCTGTGAAATGGTTTGTAAGAGAAGAGGAGGATTATGTTTGTTGTGTGCTGTTATATGGGTAAGTCCAGAAAAAGCTCTTGAGAATTGAACGCCCATCATTCACCATGTTAACTCTGACACGCTTGTTTGTTTAATATTCTGGCAAATTTGATGTTTTCAGCTTCTAAGTGACTAAACACATTTCCCATATTTATTTTACAATACCCATTTCTTAAAAAAAAAAAAAAATCTTTACTGACAATTGAATGTGTTCTTGCTGAATAAAATTATTAATTTCTTTCAAAAATAATCTTACTTGCCCCAAACGATAGTGTATATACTGTATATACAGTAAGTTCCTCATAGCTGGATACAGACAGTGTAAGACATGTTAGAAAGATCTGTATCTTTGCCAACAGTGTGAAAACAGCAAAATCAAAGCTGAAAAAACAATCCAATAAGTGTGCAAGCATGATATTGGATTCTGTTTAAGAAAGCAGCGCTGCATTTCTTATTTTGGCCACTGGAGAGCAGAGTTCAATCAATAAAGCCGCATAACTCCAATCTATTGGATATCCTGCTCTCGTTCCCCTGGAAACAGCGGCTGAGAGATGATCTGTAGTGTTAATTGAACTCACGTGAACAACTTTGAATTTCTGATTCTTGAGTGAATGTCCTAATTTGTTCTACCAGGATGCACTCTGTTTTTCTACGAGACGGATGGCCGGTCAGGCATTGATCACAACAGCGTCCCTAAACATGCCGTGTGGGCCGAGAACAGCATCGTCCAAGCCGTCCCAGAACACCCCAAAAAAGATTTCGTCTTCTGCCTGAGTAACTCGCTCGGAGACTCCTTCCTTTTTCAGGTAACTGAACATCCAGTGCAAACCCTCTTCATATACTGATACTCAACAGATTATGTAACAGACTGAGTTTCATATATAAACGTCTGACTCACTGATATGTTCAGAATAGTAGCACACTTAGTGCATACTGCACTATATAAACTGTTTACTGCATACTATGTTTTCCTAGTCTAGTTGTCTAATAAACCTGGCATTGTATATTATGATAATTGTTGGATCTTTGACAAATTGCTTTTGTTTTTGTTTTGCTTTGGATAAAAGCGTCTGCTAAATGCATAAATGTAAATGCCATTTTTTACAGTATGCAATATGTCACAATAAACAGTAGTGTGCTACTTTGTTGTCAAGCCCCAACAAATTATGTGGCGCATTTATTTATTAACAATAAAAATGTTTACTTTGCATTTTTATCCTAATTTGCTAACTTTAAGCAGAACTGATCAAAATTTATAAGTTGCCTAAAATGTCCGGGTTTTGGCTTTGTTTTGCTATTGACGTGCTCTCTACTGTCCTTATGCATTATATGCACGCACATTTGCATTGCTTTGACCGATCTCTGTAGATCCCGCCTTCTCACACACCACGATTAGTCAATTATGTACAATGCCTGCACGCTATTTGTCAAGCTAGTTTTCAGTCATTACCATCAGCAAGTATGAAAACAATAGGAAACAAGACATTTTAGGCAGTTTAGAAATCCTAGCCAGGACATATCTGGGAAAAATAAGACTTATGGTTGCCCTAGTTATTTGTCAATCTGCAAAGTCAAATTGAATGCATTGCATTGTGGGCTATTTGGTTACCAACATTCTTCTAAATATATTATGTCTTAAACGGAAGAAAGAAACTCATACAGGTTTGGAACAACTTGAGGGTGAGTAAATTATAACAGAAGTTACATTTTTGGGTGAACTGTCCCTTTAATGTTCAAAATTATTGTTGCTTGCTTCTGGTTAGGACAAAAAGTGTTGAAGAGTCTGTCAGTGGTGTTTTGTTTTCCATAATCATTGTATCAATATCATAAAGCATTACAGCACAAACATCCTCCGAATCCGCTGTATTACTGCTGATTTTCATCATGATGCTGTCATAATGTTGACAGAACATTGATTTGCTCCGTACACTTGCTGCAAAAGTTCACGTTCCACTCAATGGATGTTTACGCAAGACACAGAGCTCCGAATGGCCCGCGGCCCATCAGGAGGAGGGTTAGCGGGTGCCTGTGGGTATTTAATTTTGGCAGCGTCGGGTCACACATTGTGCCCTGGTGAATGGCAGCAGGGCCGAGTTCCTAGGGAGTCCCAGACCTCTCTGCCAGTGGATTGTGTGGCGCTGTTGTTTGCTACTTTGTGTGTTGTCTGGACCGCTGCCCCCTCCGCCGCGTCTTCCAAAAAAAAAGTGGCTGGGAGGAGTATAAATCCACTGGTGTATAAACCCACTCCACTGCCCTCCAAACACCATTTTATTAGATCAAACCAGACCAAACACAAGGCACGGAAGCTTCTAGATATCTAGAGATGGTCCTTTAAGGCTAAATGTAATGTAATGACCTTGTTTTTCGAGAGAATGATAATTTTGACAACTCTCACATGCCGCTGGCCTGCTGTAAACCATGTTCTAACGATAACTTTCTCTCTTTTCCTCACAGATTTTCCTGTGGGAGCAGAATTTAGAGCAGTTCCACATGGATCTATTCCGTTTCCGCTGTTACCTGTCCAGCCTGCAGGGCGGCGAGCTTCCCAACCCCAAACGCCTGCTGGCCTTCGCCTCCCGTCCCACCAAACTGGCCATGGGCCGACTGGGCATTTTTTCAGTCTCTTCCTTCCATGCACTGGTAATTATCCCTCAGTTTTCCATAATTTATTCAATCAATTTGTTCATATGTATAGATATAGATATTTCTATATAGGTAAATAGGTAGATATAATTTTTTTTTCTAGATATTAAAAATGACTTCATATGTATTATGTTATTATATATTAAGACAGATATTGCATTTAATATATATATATATATATATATATATATATATGAAATATATATTTTATAAAATATATAAGATATATATTACATTAAATATGTTATTATATATTAAGACATATATTGCATTTAATATATATATATATATATATATATATGAAATATATATTTGATAAAATATATAAAATACAAAATATATAAGATATATATTACATTAAATATGGATATATATATCTAGATATGTGTGTGTGTGTGTATGTATGTATGTGTATATATAATGTAATATATATAAATAAAATAATTTTTATATATTTATAGAGGAAAAGCACATTTTTGTGTAATTTCAGGAAAATAATCAAAATTGTTACTGTAGATTTTTTTTTTGTGTGAAATATAATATTGACAGACAGTTTTAGAGATTTCAGTCTTTCTCCTTTCAAGTAGACATAGAAAACAACTCCCTGGTGTCATTAAGGGAACTTACTTAAGCTTATAAGTTTTCAAATGTTTGGTATCTAACATATTTCAAACAGAAGCATTGCTTAGAAACCTACATAAAGAGCATCAGTATCGCTCTATTTTTACCCAGAATGCATGTATTAACCTGCTTCCTTCCCACCCGTCAGTGCTGGTGTACGTGGGTAATTGATTTTGGCATAAAAGGAAACAGTAGTTGAAGGGTTGGTCGGTGTATTTTGCCTTGGATGTGGGCCACGGCTCCGGCTGATCAATACCATCCATCCTCAGATTCGCCTCCAGCTCTGGCGTTCTGTGTAGGAGCTGGAGGACACTGGGATACAGGGAGATTTTATTTTTGTCTATGCAGCTTGGATGAATTTTTTTGGGTGGAGGGGGTGGGGATGCTCTTCAGTATTCACATTCTGAGAGGATGGAGAGAGAGGATAAGTGTTGGGTCCAAATGAAGTGCTGTTGGCCCGTGTGCTGTTCTTCACGAATAATGGCTTGGTTCAGAGCAGTGGAGAGGGTTTTTGATGCAGCCGGAGTGCTTTTCTCCATTAGGAGACTCAGAAATGCCACAGTGTGTTCAACACAACGAGCGTGTATAATTTTTGAATGACACTCAAAAGAACTCTCCAAGCACTTCACTAACCTTTAAAATTCATCCGGACCCGAGTGACCACAGGAAGCAAGTTATTTTTGTGTGTCTGCTGCTCATTTATAAATGAATAAGTGTTTATTCGATTTTGGTAGGGAAAGTCACATCTACCAACTGTTTTTGCTGAAAAAATCATGAAAAAACGGTGATGAATGAAATCCATCCTCTGACATTTCTTTTGAGAATGTAAGAGCAAGAACAATTGTGACAAGACTGAATGCAGTTTATGGAGAAACTATCCTGAAAATGGTGTGATGGGTATTTGTCTTTTCAGGGCTGTTTTTATTCAGCAAACGTATTTTATTAGGGATTTAAATGCAGGAGAACTCCAGAAATGCCTTGATTACACAGTCACCATTAATAACAATCTGTGTTTGTGAGCTTTGTGTTTGCTGAGAGAAAAAATCTCAAGCAGTTCTGATCAGGACATTGGCTTTTCAACTTAAAATCAGGAAAAGCAGCTGAATTTTGGAACATGGCAGCTAGTTTCTAGCTAATCATTAGCTGGTGCAAGCTTGCAAAAACCAACAACAAACCAGCTACCAGTTTAGACCAACACGTGACCAGTTTATCCCAGCTAATGACCAGTTTAGACTAGCTTTCATCTAGCTTACTCTGTTAATGAATAGTTTAGACTAGCTAAAGATGCATTTAGACCAGCTAACAAACAGTTTAGACCATCTCATGACCAGTTTATAACACATAATGACCCATTTAGACCAGCTAACAGACAGTTTAGACTAGCTCATGATGCATTTAGACCATCTAAGGACCATTTCAGACCACCTCATGACCAGTTTAGTTTAGTAAATGACTCATTTAGACACGCTAACCACCAGTTTAGACCAGCTAATGACTAATATAGACTAGCTAATGACCCATTTAGATCAGCTAATGACAAGTTTAGACCACCTCATGACAAGTTTAGACAAGCTAATGACCCATTTACACCAGCTAACAGACAGTTTAGACTAGCTCATGATGCATTTAGACCAACTAAGGACCATTTCAGACCACCTCATGACCAATTTAGTTTAGTAAGTGACTCATTTAGACAGGCTAACAACCAGTGTAGACCAGCTCATGACCAGTTTAGACAAACTAATGAGCCATTTAGATCAGCTAATGACAAGTTTAGACCACCTCATGACCCGTTAAGTTTAGTAAATTACTAATTTACACAAGCTAACAACCAGTTTAGACCAGCTAATGACCAGCGTAGACTAGCTAATGACCATTTAGATCAGCTAATGACAAGTTTAGACCAGCTTATGACCTGTTTAGACTAGCTAACGATCAGTTCAGACCACATCATGACCAGTTTAGACCACCTAATGACCCATTTAGACTAGCTCATGACCAGCTAATGGCCCATTTAGACCAGCTAGTGAGCAGTTTTAGAAAATCTTATTACCTATTTAGACTAGTTAAAAACCAGCTTGCACCTGTAATGGCCCATTTAGACCAGCTAATAACCCATTTATACCCAGATACTTGAACACCTTTGCTTATGAAGCTCACGGCTGAACATCAGTGTGACTTAATCAATGAGAACGGGTTTTACCAAGCAGCTGTGTTCATATCTCAGACTCCTGCTAGGAGCAGTCTAGTCAGTTTGATCGCTGAGACGCACAGTATGAATGTTGTCCCCATACCTCATGCGGCTGTTTTGTGTCTGTAGGTGGCGGCTCGCACTGAGAGTGGCGTGAGGCGTAGGACACAGGCGATGTCGCGCTCCACCAGCAAACGCAAGAGTCGCTTCTCCTCACTATGGGGTCTGGACACCCACTCCAAGAGAAAGAGTAAAGGTCATCCCAGCATCAGCCAGGTAAACTACACACACTTTTCACACTTGGTGTTTTCTTCCAGAAGACATAAACATGCATATGCACAGATCAACCGGCCCTGCTTAAAAAATAAAATGCACATTCATTTGCATGCTGGTGGTGCTGGTTGACCAGCAAATCTTGCTGGTTAAGACTAACTAGCATCTCAAGCAAAGGACAAAAGACAATATGAGATGGTCAACAGCACTGTTTTCAACAAGCAGATGAAATGAATGCTACAGAAAACACATACAGTTGGTTTTCGTGTTTTGGTTTTGATGGGTGACTGCTGAATGTTAGATGATCTTTTTAAACAGGTTTTTGCAGAAGGAGATGACCAAGTTAAAAGTCCTCTAGAAGGCATGTTTGAGGGTTCTTCTTGTGAGACGATGGTAAGAAACATGCATCTCTCAATACTACACTACATCTATAAAAGTGGCAAAAACACACAAAATACTATGTGAGCCCACTGCTCCAAATCAAAATTGCCCTGTTCAGAGAGATGCGCTCTGGGCCAGATCTCTGGAGTGGGTTGGCAGAGATGTGGGTGTATATTCATCACTGGTGTTGGCGGAGGTTGGCGGAGGCATTCGTGGTGTAGCAACAGTAGAGGTGGTTGTGCTATAATCCACTGACCTGGGGTGCAGATAAAAGTGTTGATGTTCTGATTCACTCACTCCATCATAAGCAGAGAAAGAAAGTTGGTGGAATGGGAGACTACAGTGCATTTTTATACATGTTTAATGGCTGAAAAAATTTTGGGTCGGTAAGATTTCTTAATGTTTCTGAGAAGTCTCTTCTGCTCACCATATAATTTATTTCTGTGATCAAAGCTGAATTTTCAGCATCATTACTCCAGTCTTCAGTGTCACATGATCCTTCAGAAGTCATTCTAATATGCTGATTTGCTGCTCAAGAAACATCTCTGATTATTATCAATGTTGAAAACAGTTGCTGCTTCATATTTTTGTGGAACCCATGATGCATGTTTGATGCAAGTTAAGGTTCAAAAGATCAGCATTTATTTGAAATATAAATCTTTTTAACATTATAAATATCTTTACTGCCACTTTTGATCAATGTAATGCATCCTTGATTAATAAAAGAATTAATTTCTTTAAAAAAATAGTAAATTAAAATCTTACTGACCCAAACTTTTGAATGGTAGCGTAATATATACTGCATACTTTAAAAAATAGTATGCAATGATAGTATGCTATATTATCGTCACATACTGTCGTGTGTATTAGTAAAACACTAATTTTAATCCAATTTTGCATTAAAATCTTACTGACCCAAACTTTTGAATGGTAGCGTAATATATACTGCATAAAAGTTGTAAAAGTTTAACTTTTGGCAGTCCGTTCAAATGTTTAAAAATCATTTTGATATTACTTCCAGTTCAATCATCACAGTGGAATTTGAATATGAAGTTAAGCGCATTGTATTGTTGGAAACGGTACACAGAACAATATGCTCTAGTTGTATACTGTACATTTTGTCACATGTATGTAAATGTATTATATGCATAAAGAAAATGTGCATACTCTGCACAAAATAAATACTGCAGAAATAATATATTATGCTTTTATGATTTTCCAATTACATCTTTTTTTATGCTAGAAATTATTAGCATACAGTACACCTCAGATAGGCGATGAGTTTTTAGAAATGATGAGATGGTCATCAATTCACATGATTAATAGCATCTCTAAAGGCCTCGTTCCCAGCTGCGGCTTCACTGTGCTTTGATTTATCACACTACAGAAAGACACCAAGACCCCAGTGAAAGGTCTGCCAAGACCCAGCGCAGATCATGACATCTGGTCCAGAGACCACCTCACTCCATCATGGGTGCTGCTGCCAAACGACCAGCCTGTGTTAGCCATCATCCAACCCGGAGAGTCGGCCCTCGACATGCTGGAAACGATCTGCAAGGTAACGCCAGGAAACCCAAGATCTTTCTAGTGCAAGAAACATTCAGCGTTCTCTTCTGATGCCAGGTTTTTTACATTCAGAGAGTCGCTTCAGCCTTCAAGGAACTGAATGTCAGTTTGAAGGTCACTGGTGCTGTAAACTCAGATGCTGTGTCCCGCAGAGGGTTTTGAAAGTCTCAAGCTTGTGTCCACCCTGTATAAAGCAATTTATTCGCTTGAAAATGTGCTGTATCCTCTCTGATATGAGCGTTTGGGCCTTTTAGCGTGTGATTGCTGTCCATCTGGCCCACTGAGAAGAAGATACAGCCCAGTAACATGTCTTGGCATTGCTCTTCATCCATTAAATGTGTGTCTGCTTTCATCTCTCCAGGCTCACCAACTGGACCCCACTAAACACTACGTGCGGCTTAAGTTCCTCATTGAGAACCAAGTGCAGTTTTATATCCCCAAACCGGAGGAGGATATTTATGATCTGGTAGGTTTGGAGTTAAACTCGCTCTCGCACCCGCTGCTTAGATGCTCTCTCATTACTTTCATCCTGCTGGGACATCACACTTCATCCAAACACCCTGTCTCTTCCTCTCTCCTTCACGCTTTAATATTTCTTCTGTGGAACACGAAAGGAGATGTTTTGCTGGTCCTGTTTCCTTTTGACCTAAAATTTACCATTTTAAGCTATGGGATTGCTTCATTCTTTCGAAGCTTCACTTCTATACATCCATCATCCTGGATTTATTATGTCTTCATTTATTATGTTTTGAGTGTGCAGGTCAGGCACAGTCGATCAAACAGGAACATAAAGTTCTCCGCCTGTGAAATGTGATCTGTATTCTGTGACTCTCGCCCTTTCATGCCGTCCCATGTGTGTGTTGTTTATGCTCTATGAATGTGGAATATCAAAGTCGCATTCAGTGGAATATTAATGAATAATGTCCTGTGCTCTTCTTCACAGCTGTATAAGGAAATCGAGCTGTGCTGTAAGATCAGGAAGGTCATCCAGTTTGATCGGGATGAGTCCTGCATGATCGGCTATGGTGAGAGCCAAAAATGTGTTACGTTCATCAAATCATGTCTGTTTTACATTTATACTGGGAATTTTACAACGGTGCCTGGAAGTGTTCCCAGTAGTTTTTAAATGATTCTTTCAATAAAAAGTTTACATATATGTGAGTACGTCCACTCACAGTAGTAGCGTAATAGACGCTATTTTATCTTATATGGTCATTTTATGCAGGACGACATAATGAGATCACATGACCACCCGAATCCAACTAGTTTTATCTCAGTAAACTGCATGTTTTTGGACACTTTGGTTGACAGATTATATTAAATTTAACTACTGAAAATAGTTGCTTTTCGGTGATTCTACATCCACATCACCAAATGTCGATATAAGTTGTAGCAATGTTATTTTAGTATTATTCATATACTCTTATGGTATTTATTAATGATTTGAATTAGCTTTTATTTTTCAATTTTCATGTTCATTTGAGTTATTTTCGTTATTTTATGTGCTTTCGTCATTTCATTTATACTGGGAATTTTACAACGGTGCCTGGAAGTGTTCCCAGTAGTTTTTAAATGATTCTTTCAATAAAAAGTTTACATATATGTGAGTACGTCCACTCACAGTAGTAGCGTAATAGACGCTATTTTATCTTATATGGTCATTTTATGCAGGACGACATAATGAGATCACATGACCACCCGAATCCAACTAGTTTTATCTCAGTAAACTGCATGTTTTTGGACACTTTGGTTGACAGATTATATTAAATTTAACTACTGAAAATAGTTGCTTTTCGGTGATTCTACATCCACATCACCAAATGTCGATATAAGTTGTAGCAATGTTATTTTAGTATTATTCATATACACTTATGGTATTTATTAATGATTTGAATTAGCTTTTATTTTTCAATTTTCATGTTCATTTGAGTTATTTTCGTTATTTTATGTGCTTTCGTCATTATTATATTTTAGTTTTCTCTTTATCTATATTTAATTTTTTATTTTATTTAGTGATTTTAGTACTTCAACTCCTGTATTTCAGTTAGTTGTAAAAGGCAAAATAAAAAAAAATTAACATTTACGTTTTTCATTTAATATTTATTTTTTATTTCAGTTTTTATTCAATTACCGAAAACAATTTTTAATACTTTTAGTTAATAATAACAACACTGAGCCATAGAAGATTGTATTTATTACTTTTATTTTTGCATTTTTATTTAATTATTTTATTTTTTGCATTTTCGTATTCAATTCTATTTATTACTGCATATGGGAAATCCTGAAGAGAATATGCTAATTTATACAAATACATGTCTATATAATGGTGGTGGTATTTAAAGGGACAGTGCCGTGAAAAATTAATAATTCTACCATAATTTATGGTCCATGGAAGAACAAAAAATTTAGATAGGTTTAAAAAGACATGATGGAGAATAAATTATGACAGAATTTACATTTTTGGGTGAACTATCCCTTTAATAATCTGACCTTGTACTTGAAAGGTTGTAGGTTCAAACCCTTTCGAGGTTTGCTTCATGATTATACTTGATTAGGATGTCTATCACTTCATCTCTCTGTCTCTCACAGGGTTTTCTATCTCTGTGGTGGAAGAGGACGGCGTACAGCAGCTCTATATCACTGACGTGAGAGCTGGAGGATTAGCGTTCGCTAAAGGTTCATTAGCTCGTTTCACCTCCTAATTGCATTCTCTTTCTCTTTTCACCCGTCTCTTGGTTTGTTCTTTTCTTTCTCTCTCTCTGTCTGTTCAGCATCTGTAAAGGAATTGCTGTGATATCTGTGCTGTGCTCCTGGTGTTATGTAACATGTTGTCAGCTCTATGGGGTTTCTGAGAGCCAAAGATTGCAGATTTATTCTCAACCCCTCTAAACTCTGAATAATGACAAACGATAGAAGGAATCGGAGAGACGATTAAAGTCGGACGTATCATGCAAAACAGGATTTTCCTTGCTCGTTTTGAAGATTATGTTGAGCATTTACAGGCATTTTGCACACGGAAACCTTAAAGGTACAGTAGCAGAATTGGCCCATTTAATTCTAACATTGGAGATTAAAGCGTTCTAAATAAACAACAACACTTTGCACTGAACTGTTTTACAGTATTGAATGAATTTTAAGTACATTTATATTCAACATTTCTCTGACTCTTTTCACTGGACATTAGCTAATATTATTAGTGGATTTCAGGGCAAAATATAGAATATGGCCCCTTTAAATGACCATCAAAACAAGCTTATCTTGACATCCAGATACTGTCATCATGCCGAATAAGACTCTCGTCTCTCTGAGTGATGTCTGCGTGATCAGTGTGGCAGGATCAGGTCCGACTGGCTTATTGCTGACATTTCACATCGCCCAGAGAACTGGGTCAAACCCGCAAGCTGAAGGGCTGAATGGAAACGCTAGACAATCTCTTTTTTTTTATTGCATCTATTTATTTTGCTGCTGGCCTTCACATCAGTGAAGACAGGACATTGTATTACTTATATGACATATTTCAAATTGAAATAGAATATTTAAGTAAAATATAAAGTAGGGCAGGACTTTTTATTTAACATTTTATATGTTGCAGTCTCATTGGATTGTAAAAAGTGGGGTTTCCATATCAAAATGGAGTTTTAGTAATTCAGCTTATTCAATTTAGTCACTTATTCTCGCTTATTTTATTTCAGTTGATTGCCAATGCAACATTTCTACGTTTAGTATTAGCACGTTTTTAATCTAATTTTTATATTATATTAGCTTTTATTTTATTTCAGTAGTTTTATTTTTGGATTTACCAAGCTGAAGGGCTGAATGGAAACGCTAGACAATCTCTTTTTTTTTATTGCATCTATTTATTTTGCTGCTGGCCTTCACATCAGTGAAGACAGGACATTGTATTACTTATATGACATATTTCAAATTGAAATAGAATATTTAAGTAAAATATAAAGTAGGGCAGGACTTTTTATTTAACATTTTATATGTTGCAGTCTCATTGGATTGTAAAAAGTGGGGTTTCCATATCAAAATGGAGTTTTAGTAATTCAGCTTATTCAATTTAGTCACTTATTCTCGCTTATTTTATTTCAGTTGATTGCCAATGCAACATTTCTACGTTTAGTATTAGCGCGTTTTTAATCTAATTTTTATATTATATTAGCTTTTATTTTATTTCAGTAGTTTTATTTTTGGATTTATTATTATTATTTTTGCAGTTTTTGTTTTTAATTGTATTCATTATGGATCAAGGAGGAGAAACAAAATGTTTTTTTTTTTTTTTTTTTTTTTTACATTTATTTTTGCATTAATGAATCACGCAGAATAAGTTTTAAGTCATTAAAAAGGGGTCCATTTTTTATGTCATGGTATATTTAACTCATGATCTTCACAGTTTTTTATGTCCTTTGTTAAACTTCAGAAATTCTTCCTTTGCTCTTTGTTTTTATTAATTGCTTGCAAGCTCTATGTATCTAACCATTTCATCCATTTTGCATGTCTCAAGAAGTCTGATTGCAATATTTCACTACTTAATTATTCATGAAATATTACCATATTTAAATGATTGCAGGTCTGAACGCAGGAGATGAGATTCTGCAGCTGAACAGGAAGGACGCCCGCACTCTGACCTTCGCTGACATGAAGGTGGCATTCGCTCAGGTCTCTCTCTCTCTCACCGTCAACACACTGCCCCCTGTTGACCGCCGGCAGCTCTGCTTCCTGCCACCGAGGCGCTCGGATGCTGTGGACAACGTCTACACGGACATCTTCTCTCAGAGTCAGGGTGAGGGGAGGCCGGAGATCTGCTGACTCATTTATTTGACTGTTTTTGTGACTTACGATGCTATAATGCTAATTAGTGCATGTTAAAGGGGTCCTATTATGCTCTTTTACAAAGTCTTGATATTTTTGGGGGGTGTACTAGAACAGGCTGTCATACTAGGCTGTTAGAAAAACACATTATTTTTCACATATTTTACATTATATCAACACCTCTCTCCCCAGTCTGGCATGAACGGTTCGAATAGATCCTGTATCAAATGAAGGCCCGCCTTCTGAAATACGAAATGTGCTGTGATTGGTTAGCTGG